TTTTGCTTATCGGAGGCTTGGGAAGGGGGGGGGATCTTATGTTATAAGGCTGTGGAAGGAGGGGGGGGGGTTCTTATGTTATATTTTCGGAATCTATTGAGAACTAAAATATATTCCATATAGTTGTTCAGTTTAACCAAAACTGATGGAAAACAATGTTGATCTTGTCTGTTAATATGAAGAAAGTGACTGGATTCAAACCACTGATTGTATAGTATACTAAATAAGATATCGTGCTAAAAATTACAGACTGTTTGATTTGCTATTTAGCCATTTCTTTATCCAGTTTGCTGAATATAAAACGTCATGACGAGATTTGCTTAAATACATTTTAATGCCATTAAAAGAAAAAGGTTAACTTTGTTTTTCACCTGTGGTTAAAACGTTCAAAACAACTTTGAAAAAGGGCACCTAAAAGTCTCGTAAAGAACAAGTTTAGTCACAAGATTCAAACCTTGCTCGAGGCCTCACGCCGATTAATTCATTAATAATTGAATTGTGCCAAACTAGACAGAAGTTACGACCAAATTCGAAACGAAACGGCAACAACAAACAATTGAAGCAATCTTCTTCTTCTTCTTCTGTTTGTATATTTCATTGGACATTTCTACAATGCATTATTAATGGAATATTGAACCCATTATTACTGTTCGTTTCAAATTCCAGATCTTCAGATTTTTTTTCTTCAAAGCAAACACTGTAATATATGAACTGACATTTGAAATTTACATATAGATTTACCCTCTGGTGAATCACAATTGTTTTTTATACCAAAATTTCAAATAGTTTTCCCGCTCCTTGTTGTTTTCAGATACCGTCTTCACAAAGTCAGTGTGGTATGATAAACGAGAAAGATGCATTTAATTAAAACATCACGGGAATATAGTAATAGATAAATATATCGCTAGAAACAAACGTGCATAGAGAAATAGATACAAACCTAGGTAGAGATATAGCGAGAAATTACAGACAGAAAATGCTTAACTAAATATAAGTAAGATTCGATGACGAGGAACCCACTTTGAGACTAATAATGGTTGGAGATGGCTTGAATGGGTAAGGAAGAAAAACTTTAATATAAGTTTAAC